ACTAGAAAAAACTACAATGCAATATAGCCCAAGAAATAGATAATCTAGTGCATTTATCCCTTTGTTTACAAGTAAATTTTAAAAGTAGATAATTCGGTCACATACCTTCATTTTACTTATCCAACTAGCTTATCCGCCACAAACAACTTCACCACAGCACCACATCACGGCTTGTTGATGCATCCCGGCATGCACTGCTATTTGCAGCGTCTGTGTCACCCATAGCGACCTTATAGCAACAGCCAATCATTCGCTCGTATCCCAACATCCGTAAGCCGGCAACTGTGGGCTTTGTAGTTTTATGAATAAATCAAATCCCGTTATGCAAACTATGAGGCTGTGAGAATTTATGTTTTTAATAAATGAGTCAGTTATCTAGTTAATTTGTTGTTGTTTCCAACTTGCACGGAATCAGCTTTCTCGATTTTTATTCACGACGCAAAATACGGAAGACAGCTTCTCCCAGTGGCGTCAGAAGGAGTTTGACATTGAGGTGTAAATCGCGACATCACTGTGGGCACACCTGCAAGGATGTGTCAAGAGATGCGATGAAAGATAAATTAAAAAGTAATTTTAAACAATAAACAGTTCATTATTTATTTAAAATAAGACTAACACTATTTAGGGTGCAGTTTCACAACTAAATATTACACAAAAAAAAACTGATCCGATTATTTTTACCGTGGAAAATCTCATATTAAACATTCAGTTTTCCGGCTTTAATATCTTTTGACAGAAGCAATGTAGGCAGTTTTAAATAACAGATTTTGATGTCCATGCAGTACACGGTAACACGAGACACAAATAGTACTGTATTATGCTATTACTTATGTATTGGTTAAACACACTTAGTTTTAGTTACATACTGATCTCATGTCAATTCATCATTAATGAATCATGACGGATCGTTCGTTGGAAGTACGTAGCGACTATATTTATTCATGATTTTTTTTTCATTATTTGTACTTCAGTAGTAACTAAGTTATCACTAATATAGATGATGATTTCAACTGTAACGAGATATTGGTTTAGGAGTTTGTGTTCATTGCAAGTGTTGCACGCCCCTTGGTTTTCCAGATTTCTTTAAAGAAGAATTATAATTTATTTTTGAATGTTTGCATGTCAGTTACAGTAACTGATGTCTGGAGTATCCATTTGTAGCACAAAGGATAGCATACTGCTCGTTGGAGTTTTGTGTGTGCCTGTAATCACAAGGTCGCTGGTTCAAACCCAGCCTCCGCACGTGTACGGGTCCTTAAGCAAGGCCCTTAACCCCCAGCTCCCTGGGCGCCCCAACAGGTGGTTGCCATTCATGGACAACTTACTCTACAAAGAGCAAGTTGAGGGAGGCGTAAAGACAATTTCCCCATGGTGATTGATAAAGTATCAATTATTATAATACAAAAATTTCTGATTTTTTTTTCCAGAGATAACCAATAAAATTGTAGAGGGGGTGGGTCCAAGCGAGTAGAGGAGACATCTGATTGGTTGGTCCGGCCTCCTCTAGTTGCTTGGACCCACCTCCTCTGTAATCTTATTGGTTACCTCTCTGAACCAATCATTTTTCATTTAAATCCAGATGGATGAAGCGGTGTAGATAATGGAATAAATACAGGATATCAATCACATTCTGGGTGTGGGGAGGGGCATTTACCAAATCAGACTGACTGAACACTCTACAAGGCTATTTCCACTCTTCCAGTCTATGGGAAGCTCTACCAGCACGCTGCAAAGGGAACGATGCTGGGTGACACCGAACTGCAGTTAAACCAGCGACAACCTGCACTGAGAAATTAATTCGCTGTTCTGCTGCCTCAGACTAAATGTCGTTTTTATTTTCTCATATTCTCAGGAAAAACCTCTTCCAGTTCAAGGACTGCAGCCATCCTGGTGACAGCGAGTATGAGGAGGGGGCTGCAGATGAGGTGGACCACGGTGATGATGAAATTTTATTTTGGGCAGTCTGTGGGAAAATTCTCTTTGTACCTCCCCCAACTTGCTGTCTGTAGGTGAGAGCAAGCTGGCTGTGAGGGGCAGCCACCCGTTGAGGTGCCCAGGGAGCTGGAGGTTGTTTGCATGTAGTGCCACTTGATTCTGGGTTGAGGGATTTCCCTAGTTAATTTGTAATTAATTAATTATGTTCATTTAGTTCATTCATTTATAGCTTTCATATTTCAGATTTTTATATTTCTTTCTGTCTTTGCTACTTACTCATTATGTTCTTTGCCTCTCATACAACTTACTCTCACCAAGGCCGTCTGACCCCCCCCGGCTCCAGGAGTCTCTATGAAGACCATAGATAAAGGGGCTGCTTCCCTCAGGGGGGGCAGAGACAGACACAGACAGACACTGAACCGGCCGTGTGAAGCATCTTTCTGTAACATCTTCATTCTGTCTTAATAAACTGCTTAAGCTTAAAGGAACCTGCCTCATCATTCAACTAAAAGAACCTGAGGTTTCACTGAAGAAATCTGTAAGGGTGAAATATGAATCTCGTGATTTTTTTTTCCCCACTCAGAAGGTTGTGATTTTCTCTCATAATTCTTGTCTATATTATTATCCATCCTTCCATTTTCTGTAACAAGTTGTCCTACTACTTCTTGGTAATTTTCCCAAAAGGTCCATTCATAAATCAAATGAAAGAAAAACTGATCTAATGACAAAGGAAATAATAAAGGTAACAGGGTTGGTGATCATTGTTTTATAGTTTGGCTGAAAGAATTTTCATGTTTCTTATTTATAATTGCCAAATGATGTTCAAATTCACAATATTCGATACTGGTACAAAAACATTTGCTTAGGTGTAACTTTATGAAACGTGCCTGTATTATTTCCTTTGTACAATAAATGACCACTTAATATTACTAATGAATATGCATGAGAATCTAGAAAGTCAATGATTGTGCACTTTCCCATAGGGAACTGCTTAAAGCACAATGTAATTGATGTGAGTGTCTTATTTACTTTTAGAAGAAGATATACAAGATGGCCAAGCAAAAGAACTCTAGCGTCCACTTTCCCAGCACATGCCACTCCACAAAGTGTCACGCCCTGCTCGTGCCGATCCTGTTGTGTGCCGCACCCCCCTCTCTACCTCGTGTGGAATCCCCATGTTTATTAGCTGTTTCTAATTGTGTTTCATTAGTTCTCTGTATTTAAGTCCGCGTTAGAGTATGTTTCCCCAGTCTGGTCATTAACGTCAGTTTTATGTGCTACTCCGTGTTCCTGCCTGTGTTCTCCACAAATAAACCTGCTGTTTTCCCAACTCCTGCTTCCGCGTTCCGTGTCCCCTCGTCCATAATACAAAGGGCTTCAACTGGTACGGCACAGAGGGGCCTCTTCTGGAAGCACTTGGCATCCAGTGGTGACTATACCTACATGTTCTACTACTTCTGAGTGTCCAAGCAGGTGCTGTCTATGTCAAATGCATGTGTCACCCATAACTCTGCCCTCCCCCATCAGCCCACGTGGTATAGATACCACCAAGCACAACCTAGGTCCAAGCCACCTTACCCTGGAGCACTTCATGAATGGCGCCAGTGTCTTTTTCTACAATGTCACCCTCTCCAATAGGAAGAACCTGGTGCGACACCTCATCGCGTATGATGGGCAGGAGCAGAAGAGTCAGCAAGACTTGAGCTTCACTGACCTCGGATCCCAGTGCACGTTCAGCAGTTTTTTGCCACCTGTCAGATCCTCCATTGACTTTAATATGAACTTGACTTCTGATCAGAAATCCAGTATGTTGGACTGGAGAATTGTTGAATAGCAGCAGTCTTGTAGAGTGATCAGTCTGATCTGGTGAATCGGCATAATTACATGCCCCTCCCACAACCAGAATGTGATTGACTTCCTGTACTTGTATATCTATATCCAGACACAGACACAGACATATGTTGCTTAAATGGGATATATTTTGAGAAATACGTTCAGATAAGATCTGATACTACAATAGATCTTTATTACTGATATTTGCCCAAAATGTCCCTTTCAAGGATCGAATGAAAGAAAACCTGGACAAATAAAGGAAATGCAGGCGGCAATAGGGCTGCTGATCATTGCTTCAAAGTTTAGCTGAAACAATTACAGTATGTTTTTTATTTATATTTGCCTAATGATTCATCATTGGTGCAAAAACACTTGCGACGTTTATGTAGCCGTCCATCTAGAAATCGGTAACTTCCTGAAGAGGCTGAAGACTAAATAAAAAGGATGCATTTCAAGATGCACATTTCCTCAGACCAAAAAAACTGAATTTAACATTTGAACATGGAAATTTATAGCAAGAATAAAAACTAGTAAAAAATTTCTTCCGTTCCTCAAAAAGTTACTGATTTCTAGATGCACAAACTGCCACCTGCATCAGCAGTGCATGAAGACTCAGTGGGTAACTGGGTCAGTCAGTTCTTAATTACCAAGGCAGAGGGGTAAGGAGCACATGGGTGACACCCAGCACACGACAAACCCCCTCAGGGATGAGTACCCAGGTGTGGCCTTTGGGGGTGATAACTCAGCAACACACTAGTTAGCCAAATTGAAATGGAATGGAACAGTGTGAAGGTTTTTCAGGTGCTTGGAGTGCCCATCCTACCACCAACCCTCAAATACACCCAGGGCTGAATGTAGATTAACATCATACCCAGGATGAAGCAAGTGCAGGTTAAGGGCCTCGCTCAAGGGCCCTGCTTAATGGCCCAATGGAGTAAAATCACTCCAGGTATTCATGGGATTCAAACCGGCAACTATCTGATTGCCAGCACACTTCCCCAGCCTCAGAGCCACCACTCCACCTGCATTGAGCTGCTTGTGTAATTTAATTATGCATTTCTCATTAACGCACAATGTTCCTCTGTTTTCATGCAAAGCGCTGGTCAGCCTAACCCAACAAGGGGTCCTCATTTTATCCCAAAATAAGCAAGAGTAATATGGTGCCAAGTGGCATGCAGCGATAACCACACAAACAAACAGACATAACAGTAAATACAACAGCCAAACCCAGATACTTAAGCAAGTTTAATATAAAAATAACAAGGAAAACAAAACAAGGAATGTTCAGACATTCGTCAAGCAAATTGCACACATTTTTTTGCAGGAGATGAGCACCTTCATCTCCCAGAGGAATGAGAAATGGATAGATTAAACACCTCATCTCCTATATATACTGACCAAGGCGGCTGATCCTGGGGCTCAGTCGATGTTGGGATGTTGGCAGCGGGGGGACCCGCCTCCTGTTGTGAGATGCCCAGCTCCGACCTGATCAGAGCACTGGAGTGTCAATCCGGCATCACCGCATCTAAAGAAAACCGTAATCCCCGGATGGGTGTGGACCTCCTGAAAAGCCCAGAGCTACGGGATGAAATCCAGGTGCGTTCTCAACTGCTCCTTGGCAAGCATGTTGGATTCTACAGCTCCTCTTAGACCACATACAGTACTGTATGAGCTGTCGGAGATGCATTTCCCTGGTGGGGCCAGCAGGGGGAAATCACTGCACACAGGCTTGAACACAGTTGAGAGCTGCTACGGGTGTAACCCCACCAAAGACCACTTACACACTCATTCACGGGCCACATAAACAAAAGGAAACACAGGTCCCAAAATGGTGGGATTATCAGTGTTAACATTACATCTATAAATCGTCACTACGGTACCTTTCATGTCAGCCAGTGGATTCTGAGTGCAGCAGAGGGATATGGTAGCAGTGTGATGACATCAGCACTGACATCTGCATCCATATCCCCCTCCCCAAATGCTCCTACACTGTCATTTTTTGGTATAAAAATAGCCGGAGATAGGAGCTGTGACAATAGCTGTATTATTTAACACGTATCCCGCAGAGCCATGACAGCTGCAGTGGCAGAAATCGCTGGTGCTGTGTACACTGCACATGTAGGGGGTGACATACACCACCGTCATCTAAAAGGTCCCCTGGGGGCCTCGATGTATCTCTCTCCTTTACAATCCGGGGCCGTGACTCCGCTCCGGTCACGAGGAAATCATCCACTGTTTTCCACACCACCTCAGTCAAAAGGCCACGATTAAAGGGTCTAATGAAGATCGCAGTGAGGCACAGCCAGTGATGACCAGTTCAGCTCTGGGGAACAGACTGCCCGAGCCACCACACCTGGACTGTTTTTGGGGGTCACATCTGTTCTGATATTTAAGCAGAACAACCCAGAGGTCGAAACATACAATTTCTGCAGAAATGCAACAAATTTGCATTTGCGAAACACAAGTCACCACCACGGCCGTCACTTGGGCCGTGTCTCTGGAAGTACGAGCTGCGGATCGTGGCGTAAATCCACAACAGCAGATGCCAGGGATGCGCGGTGTGTTAAGACAGATATACTGAGACTGTAAATGCCCTTGTGCAGCTGGAGGCTAGTATGCACTCAGTTAAGCAGGCCCTTCGCCCTGAGTTATTGACAATGTGTACATGAGGTCTCACTGGGGGTTTATTGCTAAGTGGCTCTTACTGCAAGCAGAACTGAAGCGTCTAAGTGCTTGTTTTCTAACTTGGTCCCTTGTCCCTATGGATACGCAGACGTATTTCAGGCTGCCTGAAGGTGAATGGGGATAGTAATTCACTGTTAGAATGATCCTTTGTTTACGCTGAGGGGGTGCATGCTTTGGTATACGTGCCCGAACCTGCAGGGGAGGCGGGTGTGCGCCATTATTCGTGTCCTAACAAGGTGCTCCATTTCCTGTCTGCTAGGTCCACACACATCACGAACTCAATGGAAATACCATCCCAGTACTTTTTGACAAGGTGACAAGCCGCCGATACCCATTTCCTGTCTCTTCCGCTTCAAAGCTGAAATGGGCATCAGAGGAACGGACAAAAATAGCCCCCCCCCGACTCCACCAGGAGTGACTGCTCAGCCTCGTTCCAGGGCCCTGGCCGGCATTGGTCCAATCAGAGAGCAGCAGGCTGGCTGGCCAGTCAGTCATTCCTAGGCAGGTGATTACATTCAGGACACCTGCAGGTGGACAGACGCCCCGCCGAGAACATGGGTGCGTCATCGTCAACGTGACCTAACATGACCTCCAGGTCTGCGAAAAAAAAAATCCCTCGCAGCTCCCACCCAGCAGGACGGGTGGGGACGTTGCTGCGTCTCGCTGTTGAATTCCAGCAGCCGCTATAGCTTGACCACCACCACACAGGCTCCTGCCCTGCCGACGCACAACGGCGCCACCTGCAGGACGACATTGGAACCGATCATGTCAGTTTGCAGGACAGCTAAAATGGCATCGAGTCCCACCTGAATACTCCTCCACGCTGGCTAGCTGCCCGGGGGAGACACACTCACCGCTCAGGGCTGCTTACTGTTACCATATTTCCCCGTTTCCACCCACACTCAGGGGAAGACTCTCAGGGACCCGAACACTAGGGGGCGCCCATGAGAAATGCTGCAGTCAGCAAGCATGACATGGAAAATAATTATCACTAAATTAAAAAGTATGTTAAAACTGATAAAACAGGCTGAATATGCATTTAATAAAGTAAATTTCAGTTCTACAATGATTTAGTGTCATTGCAATGAATATAAAATTTTAAATGTTTTTAATCATCCTGTATGTAGTACGGCTATGGGGTGATAACACAGATTCTGACAGTAGCCATTATTTGTCTGATTACTGACATTACTATGTGTTCAGACACCTGTAACTATAGATGAGTGTGTGAGTTTGGATAATGGTTGGTTTGGACTGGCGGGGGCTCACCCATCCCTTTAAACAGCCCCGCCCACACTAGACCGAATCAGAAATAACCGCCTGTCTCCGAGTCACCAGCGTGACACACTGTGATGTCCCCATTAGTCACGGCCACGGTCGGCTGCTAAAAACTCGCGCACCTCCTGTTTGTGTCTCCTGATAAGTCCCATGGGGGGACGGGGGAGCAGCTGGCAGGGGTGAGATAAGGGTGTGGGGGGGGGGATTTCAGGCGCAATTTAGAGAGAAGGAGAGAGAGAGGGATGACGGAGGAAAGCATAATGATAGGGGAGTACAGCAGAGGACCCCGGGGGGCGTGACAGCCCACCTGCTCCCACTGGTTGGTCTGCGGGTCGTAGGCCTCGACCGTGTTCAGGTAGACCTGCCCGTCGTACCCCCCAACGGCGTACAGACGGTCCCCCAGTAGACACACACCCACAGCATCCCGGCTGATGCTCATGGGGGCCACGGTGGTCCACGTGTCCGTTTTGGGGTCGTACCTGGAAGGACGGATGACACGTCTTAGCGGCACGGCCGATTGACACCACCCCCAACCCCCCCCCCCGGTGCCAGGGGGTGCACTCACCTCTCCACGCAGTCCGACAGGCGCGAGGTCAGGCTGGAGGCGGGGGCGTCGTGGCCGCCGATGGCGTACAAGAAGTTGTTCCAGGTGGCCACGCCCACTCCCCCGCGCCGCTTGGCCATTTGCCCGCAGACGCTCCACTTGTTGGTGTGGGGGTCGAAGCACTCCACAGAGCGGAGGCAGGAGCTGCCGTCGCGACCGCCCACCGCGTACAGCCTGTAGTGGAGCCGGGACACAGCGGGGGGGTTTGCTGCTTAATAGGGGTGTCCGGTAATGGTCGAGGGAAATCTGATACCACTTAAGGTTACAGGAGACTGAGTCTGTTCCCGGTCATGTTGATCTGAAGGTCTCCTTCAGTACATCCCAGAAGACCAGTAAATGGGCATCCATGATCGTCAGGGGCCAGGGGCAGGCGGCTGTGCATCTGCTGCTTAGTCATACACCCATGACTAGAGGAATCTC